ATGGATTTAAGAACCTAAATTTAGACGCCAAAGTCTCAAAATTTTGCCCTAAAATGGATTTAAGAACCTAAATTTAGACGCCAAAGTCTCAAAATTTTGTTCAAAGTCTTTTTGGCTTGTAAGAACTAGAGCCTTCCTGGTCTGAAGTGCTTAATAACTGAAAGCAAGTTTCAGAGAGTCTGTCTCATTGCAGCTTCTAGAACAACAGCTTCCCCATAACTGGCATCCTCCACACCCTGATCATTCAGGCATTACAAAACTGAATTCAACTTTACAGAAATGTGGCCTCAGGAGTTAGGCTGGTAACATTCTACTGATTAAATTATAGGTTAGATAAGATAAAAGTTGGATAAAATTAAGTTATTTAGGATAACGAGTATTCAACTTAATTATCAGAACACATCTAAGAACAACAGGCTACTGCACAGACTGCTGTTCCTACTGGCCAATTCAACATAGATGTCAGCAATTATCAAGCACAAAGAGGGCTTGAGAATGAGAGTCAGCTGCAGAAGAGAGTAATGTGTGTGTGAGCCCACGTATAGAAAGAACTGCTTTCACGTCCTAGCACAGAAATCAGTCAGTAATCCTTACAGTTATACGACAGTGTTTTAAGATAACAGCTCAAAACACTACTGTAGGCTGGGGTCATGTTATGTAGGATACTGTTACATATGGGGGAAAAGTAGGGCTGAGCATTGCAGGGCTAGTCTAACCTAAGGCTTTGTCTGCACTAGGGAATAGCTCCCACTTGGCAACTGGTGCCCTAACTCAGCAATTCGTGCTGATCCCTTAGTGTGGACAGGGGCAAGTTAGCGTTTGCACTGATTGAATTAGTCAGAGTTTACTACTAACTATTCTCATTTTCTAATTTTATTTAGTGTAGCCTATTTGGTCTTCACATTTCTTCCTGAAATGATTATAGCATATGCTTTTTGTAATTTACTTTGTACGTATACTGGGTATTTAGCTAGTGCTGAAGTAAAATTGCCAATCCTCTTTCCTGTATGCTCTGAGTAATATATAGTACCATCAGCCTGCTCATGATTAACATGTTAACCTACCTCAGTGAGCTCCCAGGTGATGCTAATAGTCCAACATAGCCCATAGCTGCGGACCAACAAGGCCTTCATTGCCCAGCCCCAGAAATGCCCAAAAGCAAATATGTCAAAATGGCTGAGGATTCTCTCCCAGGTGATAACGTGGCAGTTCACAGCATATTCCTGTTAACAAAACAACAACAGATCCTCAGTTAGGATTTACATCTGGAAGCACCAGAACGGAAGGACAATTTTAGCTCAGCGTAAACCGAAAGGCTGAAACTAAAGATATTTTGGATTTTGAAATCCATGTTGCTATTCCCACCAACATTAGAAATGCCCTCTTCCACCTCCTCCTAGCCCTGGCAATTAGGTTAGAAAAAGGGTCACTGGGAAACTGAATGGTGAACACTTGAAAACAGAAGGAATTTTGCTCCTTCTGGTGTGCATCTCTATCATTTTTGACTTGTTTAAAGCAGGTGCTGATTGTTATCATTGCTGGTAATTATGGGGCAAATTCTGTCCTCAGTGCATAGCCTCAGGTACGTACACTGTAGGCTGGTTTTTGTGCATGGTGTGGATTGGGCGCAGAACGTCCCTCTTGGGCCTCAGAGCTGTACAGAATGGAGTCTCTGTACCCTGCTCCCTGCCTGGCTAGAACTGCACCAATGCTGCTGCGATCAGGACCTCACATACCAGTCTCACATGGAGACAGGACTTTACACTATGTACAAGTTTATATTTTGCCACCTCCCTTTTTTTTTAAATTAATCAAACAGCTGGTAAGCGAAAATCATGCTGCGCTCTTCCATAAGCCATAAATCTGAGATGAGTTAGAACAGGGACAGAGAGAAGAAATCCAAAGAAATAGCTATGTGGAATAATGTTGCTCCCCATCCCTCAGTGCTCTTCCTCAATTTCTAGCCAATAAAGCTGCAGTAAACAAGAATAGGATAATACTGATGTTATCATGGTGCAAATGAATCTGAAAGGGGTAGAGATAGTCTTTGGGGTGAATGCTGCACGTGTGACTGAAGGATAGAAATAATAGTAAGGAGAAAGAAATATGGAAAATATACATACAAAACCCCAAGCAAGCTGGTCATGGAAAAAAAGGTTATATACAAGTGATCACGGTTCTCTTGCTTTAATGCTGTCCTTGAAGGTCTGGTTTTCAAGCAACTCAACAGTGGTACATCCTCAGTACAACGCCTGAAGCAGTTCCACAGACAAACTGCAGATCCAACTCCCACTGACTTCAGTGGAGCCAGGATTTCACCCAAGCTCTCCCCACACAAGGATGGTAAGCGCTGCTCACTGCAACTGCCCTCACATGGGCAGCAGGTATAATAAGCCAGGGCTGTTGCACGATGACACGCCACCCCATGGCCCCACACTCACTCCCCCTTTTCTCCGAAGCTAGGGGGGTTCAGCTCCAGCCAGTGGCCTGGGGGGTCAGGCTGGGGCTCAGGCTGGCCAGCAGCCCAGTGGTCAGGGTGACCTGCAGCAGCCAGAGCAGCTGGGGTTGGGCCAGGCTCTTCCGGGCACGGGGGAGTGGTGGTGCGGCTCAGGTGCAGCCTTATGCGTAGGGCCCTACCAAATTCACAGTCCATTCTGGTTAATTTCACGGCAAGAGGATTTAAAAATTGGTCAATTTCACAATTTCAGGTGTTTACATCTGAAATTTCACCGTATTATAAACACAGGGGTCTTGACCCAAAATGGGCTAATTGGCGGGAAGGGGGGTTGCAAAGTTGTTTTAGGGGGGTCTGCAGATTGCCACCCTCACTTCTGTGCTCTGGGAGTGCCCCAGCTGGGGGCTCCTGGCTGCTAGTCCATGCCAGAGACCGATTAAGGCAGGGGCCCCCAGCCAATTTGGGGGCCCCCCCAGGAAAAATGGGTGCCCCAGCCCCGGATGAAGCCCCAGGGCAGAAGACCCCATTGGGTCACCCTGAGCAGTGCAAGAGCTGCAGGGGAAGAAGCCCTGAGCCCTGTCTGCAGCCGCGGCCGAGCCCAGGCTGGAAGGCAGGGGGTGAAAGCCCTGAGCCGGAGCAGCTGGGGGGGAGGGAGGCCCCAAAAAAGCCCGAGCCCAGGCCAGAGCAGCTGGGGGGTGGGGCGGCACAGAAGCCCCAAGCCCAGGCCAGAGTGGCGTGGGGGGGTTGGGGGGGAATGCAGAAGCCCCGAGCCCAGGCCAGAGCAGCTGGGGGTGGGGGGGGGGCACAGAAGCCCCAAGCCTGGGCCGGAGCGGCGGGGGGGAGGAGCGTGGAAACCCCAAGCCCAGGCCGGAGCAGTTGTGGGGGCTGGGGAGGGTGCGGAAGCCCCAAGCCCGGGCTGGAGTGGCAGGGGAGACGCAGAAGCCCTGAGCCCAGGCTGGAGCGGCTGGGGAGGCGCGGGGGCAGAAGCAGGGGAGATCAGATTTCATGGACGGTGACATGTTTTTCACACCTATGAAATTGGTAGGGCCCTACTTATGCGGAAGGGACAGGGGCAGGGGACTAGCCTCCCCAAAGCGGGGGGTTCATGCGCCAACCATGGTCACAGGTAAAAGCCACTCTAACAGGGTTGCTGAAAGGGGGGTTATTGCCCTGTCTCCTCCTCTCGCAGGCTAGTGGAGTTGATCGGGCACAGAGAGAAGTGAAAGTATCATCCACTGTAAGGGTGGCAAAGCTGCAGTTGCAGTGCACGTGCCAGGGAGATCCCTCCAGAGGAGTTAGGAGCCCTGGAAGGAAGCCTATTGCAACGTAGTCCGCACCCTGTCCAGTGCAAACTATGCCTTAAAAGCCACAATCTGGCCCTACATTTTAAAAACCATTACACCATAATTAAAAAAAAATTCTGTTCCTAGCAAGTCTCCTAGCTGTAAGGTTTACATTTACTACTACTGGAGAAACCAGTGTAATACCAAAGATAGGATAGCATGAGAAAGCTCAGGTCAAGAGCCTATGAAATTACAGAATCTTAATCTAATTATTTAGGTTATTCAGTGCCACATTACAATAATGTAGGGTGCTGCTTTTTTTTTATGGTAAAATGTAAAAGTCATCTTATTGACGGGCACAGCATTTTGAGCACCAGAGAGAGGGCTCTCATTTTGCCACCAATGCAAACAAAACCATCAGAATATCTACTTAGTTCTTTAATTTCTGACTACAGATGGGTATACATCCTACAGCATACCCTAGACTCTTCCCAGGTCTGGCCACAGAAGACCTGGCAGTATGAACTTCATGGGTTTTGGGGAGAAGGCCAAGGAGGGAGAACACAGTTGCTTTATGCTTTGTTACTTCTTTTCCTGCATACACATATGCAGAAAACAGGGTCCAAATTCAAGCCATAAAGCTATAAAGTTAAATTGAGTTCATCTCCCAGTTTGTATAATGACCCACATGCATATGCAATTTTTTAACTATGTACTCTGTTTTATTTCTTGAACAAAGCGTATTGTTTGCCTGAAGGAGATTGTAAGTTCCTAGATAGGGCAGGGTGCTGCATGTTTGTATATTGTAGACACAATGATAATACGCAAATAAAAAGCATAAGACTTGCAGCAAGATTCCCCAGAAAGAAGTCTAATTATACCTGGAGCTGCAAGTACAGCTCTGACACCCTAGCAGTGGGTGCCACTTGCACTTTCCTTTGTGTCAAGAGGAGACAGGGCCATAACTCTGGATTTAGTTTGTCCACAAATAAGTCATTTATTATAGCTATTTGTAAAGGATATGAGAGAAATTAAGTCTGTGCAAAAGCACAAAAGGAACAAAGTTCCATTGCTTAGTACTGTCAGGAAAACCCCCATATTCCCCATTAAATTTGGTCTGATAGCAATGGTAGACCACCTATTCTGACTTGACTCCAAGCTGCTCAGGTATGATCTAGATACTACAATGATGGATATCCTTCACCTATCTAGCATCACTTTCATGATTAATATAACCCAGAACCTCATCACAAATATTTCTAATATGCCCAGTAGATCAGTTTTTACTAATTTGAATCAGAAAGAATAAAAAAATATTTAACTGGTTCATTGAAATGTAGAGATCTGACAGTTAATACAAAATAGCTGTAATTTGCACGAGGATGCTAAGTATACATACCATGATGTCTGCTTCCCTGGTGGCATAACGAAGATTAGGATCTAGCCAATACATCACTGCTTTGACCTGCTCCAAGTTAAGGAAGAGCACAAACACCAGAAACAGGAAATAGAGAACGCTGAGACCTGTCGGAGGTAGAATGTTTATTGAGGAAATTCCATGGGCCAAATAGTCAAAAATTGGTTCCAAAGTGGTGCCCCAAAGCCTGCTTACAGTGGTTAACTGCACACAGAAATGCCAATTTGCACAAATGCAGGTTTTGTTCAGACAATAGCTGCATACAAACATTTTGCAAACACACACCATGTGGCAATCTTTGGGGGGAAAAAACAAAACAAAAAAACCCAGCCTTTCATACCATTGGTTATCGGATATTCTATTACGTAGACATGACTGAGCAAACAGAACCAAAACAAGTCACATCCAAAGAGCAATTTAAACACAGAATTTAAGCAGGAGCACAGGGGAAGCTCTAAAAAAAAAAAAAGAGAGACATTGGGACTCAGGGACTGGGCTTTTCCTGTCCCGATTTCATTCTCTCCTGGCCTCACTAACACAGCCTTCTAAACCAATAATTGCATATTAAGGGACAGAGACGCCTGATTTGAACTGCTCTGGAAATGCAAATTTAGCTGCAATTTTAGCTTTCCTGGTTAGTAGCTGCTTTGATGTGCTGGAGATTGTCATTAAAAGTTTAATTCTAAAAAAAGGCAAACTTAGGAAATTCAAAAATACAAAACTACATTAAGTTAAGACTGAGCGTACATATCAGTAATTTAAGGGTAAACACACATTACAGGGATGTTTTAATGCTTGAATTTGGGCATAATTACAATTCCAGGAAATTCAATTAAGGTTACACTTAAGAGAAATCTAAACATGTCAATGCAAGAAATGCAGTTTAGACACTCAAACAACCTTAATTCTGTCCTCTAGCAATACCATGAGGGGGGAAAATATGGGAAAAAACCCATATCTGTCTTTAAAATCAGTTTAATTAAGACAAACACTAATAAGTCTTAATAATAACGAGGTTATTGCATGATGTCACTATATATTAAGAGTCAAATCCTGTCCAGAGGTATGCAGAGAGAATATGAGGGCTAGAGGATTGTGCAGAGAGCTTCCCTCCCACAGGGGATCTGTACAACATAAAGGAAGGATGGATACCTATCTAGCTACTAGACGAGGTATGGCCTACTGATTAGGAGTTGTGGTGAAATATATGCTTCCCAACTGTGCGTGAGACCAGGGCCAGCGCAACCCATTAGGCGATCTAGGCGGTTGCCTAGAGCGCTAAAATTTGGGAGGCGGCGACTGCGACGGTATTTCGGCGGCGGGACCTTCCGCCGCCTCTGTGGGGGGCGGCATTTTAGGGCGGGACCTTCCGCCGCCTAGGGCGGCAGAAAAGCTGGCGGCGCTCCTGCGTGAGACTCTATTTTGGAGTTGCAGTTAGGTGCACCCCTCAGAGCCATCCTGCTCTGCATTTACTGAACAGCTGTGGCTGACTAGTCATGTCCAGGGAAGCAGAATCACACTAGAGCAGGATTTTTCCCTAATTATGCAGGTATACTCTCTCTCTAATAGTACAATAGAAGTTCTGGGCGTGTCAACCTTGAGACCATCCTTTTAATTTACAATTACTGTACCCCAAGACTGTACAGCAGAAGGTAGGTTATTAAAGCTTCTCAGTTAGCTGAATTCTCAAACTTGTTATAGCTAATCAGCAGTGACCCTTTAATGTCAACAGATGAGTCATCAGCTACTTTAAGAGGCTAGATATTTTTAGCTACATAAACAATCCCAACAGAGGCATCTTCGATATCTTTTTGAACAGATCTATTCTTCATATCAGACTCAATTCTATAAAAATATTTTCAAAATCTGCTTTATGCCGCATGAACCTCCAAATATTTTGAGGGGAATTTTGCATGTTTTTGCCACGTATTTCAGATAGTTTTAAGAAATAGAATTTCACTGAGTAATTCCTGCAGTGGAGGGAATTTTTCTGCCCTGCTATGTAAGTGAACACTGTGCTGATCAATTTATTGTTAAATTTATGGTTTATGGTTAAAAGTTTTGCAATTAGATACCACATTTAGATACCACACTGATAGTCAAAAATACCTACATAGATAAAATTATGCTGGCACACATGGCTCAATGGGACCCAAGGTGCTCCCCAATAATGTAAGTGTGAAACATGAGTGACTGTAGCATGGGTTCAACTGCACTCCCAGAAATGATAAAACCCGGGGTGCAAACCCAGGCAAACATCCCCTACTCCTGGCCTAGTGCACTGGGGAGGGCTGTTGGGTTTGAGAGCAAGACTGCCCTGCATCTATCTCACAGTGGCAGCTCCTGTCCCACGGGTTTGGGCCCAACTGCCTGCTATAGGCATTGCAGCTGGTGTATAGCGTCACAGCACCACTCAGTTCTGTCCTGGCTGCAGATGCTGCAACACCCATGCACCAAGTCACAACGCCACTTGATCGAATTTGGTCCAGCAGCCTCTCTGTCACAATGGAGGGGCAGCCAGGGCAACCCCAAGTGATGCTGCGACCCCATGCACAGGTTGCAATGACTGGAACAGAGAGCAGGGCCCAGCCCCATTGGACAGGAGCCACCCCTGTGGGTGAGCCCAGGGCAGGCCTGCTCTCTAGCCACTTCCCAGCACCCAGGAGCGGCACCAGGGTTCTTGCCACCCTAGGCGGCAGCGCTTCTCCTCTGAGCATTCAGGGGGCCTGGGGTCTTCAGCGGCAGGGGTCCTTCCGCTCCGCGTCTTTGGGGCACTTCGGCGGCGGGACCTGGAGCGAGTGAAGGACCCGCCGCCGAATTTCCGTCGAAGATCCGGAGCGGAAGGACCCCCCGCCGCCGAATTTCCGCCAAGGGCGGCAAAATGTCGCCCCCCCCAAATCCTGCTGCCCTAGGCAACCGCCTAGGGGAAGCACCGGCCCTGCCAGCACCCCCCAGGATGGGATTAGGGTTGTGGTGCCAGGGTGATCAGTGCTCCCTTGGCAGGTCAGTGCAGTGCCCATTGAATTGGGACGCTACAACCGCCCCGATGTGAAAACAGCAGGAAATTCGTAGTTCACCACAACGGATTGTGAACTTCACATTCTACATACATAAATGTGACATATTAATTAATGGAAAACAGTTTTAAGGATTATGATGAGGCAGCAGTTCACTTCCAACATTGTAATCTTGTAACTAAATGGGCAACTTTCAAAAGACATGTAACACTTTTGCTACATGTATTACAAAGAGGATGCCCTGTTCTGATTTTTTGTGCTTATTTCTCAGCAAATTAAGATACTTTTAGGAGTAAGCTGTTTAATAAAAATCACAACATTTGAAAACTGCTTTTCTTGAAACATGAAAACATTTCTCTCTCTCTAAGCCCCCATGCTTCCAGAATGAATGTGCAGTGTCTGGGAGAGATCTGAAATGCATCAGCCCCCTCAACAAATGATTCATAAATCTGCAAAGATTTTAAATTCGGGGCTCCTTTCAATGTATATTTATAAAAACCTATTCTCAATTTTTCTGCTTCACTGGAGTTGACCATTTTAAGCAAAACTTAAAGCTCTAATTGTAAGACATTTTGGAATACTACAGGTCATCCCTCTATCTGTAGAAACAAAGCAGCATCCCTCCACAGACAGGTTAGAGTACAGGAGCAGTGTCTAATTAAAATATTTGTCAATGAATTAATGAAAAAAATATACAAAACAGCTTATACCAGGAATAAAACAATTACAGAGACGGCAATTTCCTTAGGGAGGTTATTTAATAGCTTGAAAACGTAATCTAACTCGATCTCCCAGGCTCCTGGCTGCACAGCAATCCCAGAGAGCCTGCATGGATTTCAAGCTCCCGGATCCCTGATAGGGAGATCTATGAAAAGAGGCAGGGAAGTTTTGGAGTGAGTTGAAAGAAGCAATGTAAGAGGCTTCTAGGTTCAGCACATGTGATATCAAGATGGCCATCAATGAAACAGTGGTGGTGACTTGCAATGGATGTACCATGTTTTTGTTCCTGCTTGAAATCCCTTCTGTCTTCATATGCATGAAGTGCGGGTTAGTGGCTGTGCTGGAGGAAAAGATTCTTGCATTGGAGGAGCAAGTAGAGACGTTACTGAGAATCAGAAAAGCTGAGAAGTTCCTAGAGAGCCAGGTTCAGGAAACAGCAGTAACCCAGATTCAAGGAAGAATGGAGCTGGCCACAAATGAATCAGAGAGAGAGGGAGTCAGAGAGGAGGCCTGGCAGTTTGTAACCACCACAGGCAAGAGGTCACAGTGGCATTCTACATGGCTGGAGACAGATGAGGACGGGCAGGCTGTGGCCACCAAAGAGAAGAGGACTGTCAGGGATTCCATACATCTAGAAATTTCCCCTTGTTCTAGCAAGCGGTTTCTATTCAGTGGTTCTTTGAACTTTTGTGTAAATAGTTGTTAGTTAGTTTACAGTTCTTCATAGCTAGTAGACCTTAGTGAATAGTCCCCTGAGGGACTTAGACCAGGGAATGCATTTTGCATGCAAAACATGTTAATACAGCTAAATGTAATTGTGTACATTTGGAACAAAGAATGTAGGCCAGACTTATAGGATGGGGGACTCTATCTAGGAAAGCAGTGACTAAAACAAGATTTGAGGGTCATGATAGACAATGAACTGAACATGAGCTCCCAGTGTGATGCTGTGGCCAAGACAACTAATGTGATCCTGGGATGCATAAACAGAGTAATCTTGAATAGTAGCAGAGAGGTAAAAATAACCTCTGTGTTTGGCATCGGTGCAACTACTGCTGGAATACTGTGTCCAGGTCTGGTGCCCATAATTCCAGAAGGATATTGATCAATTGGAGAGGGTTCAGAGAAGAGCCATGAGTCTGAGTAAAGAATTAGAAAACCTGCCTTATAATGAGAGACTCAAGGAGCTCAATCTATTTAGCTTATGGTTAAGGGGTAACTTGATTACAGTGTGTACATACCTATGTGGGGAACAAATATTTAATAATGGGCCCTTTAATCTAGCAAAGAAAGGCATAACATGACCCAGCGGCTGGAAGTTGAAGTTAGACAAATTCAGACTGGAAACAAGGGGTAAATTTCTAACAGTGAGGGTAATTAACCATTGCAACAATTTACCAAGGGTCATGGTGGATTGGCCATCACTGACAATTTGGATATTAGATGTTTTTCTAAAAGATATGCTCCAGGAATTATTTTGGGAAAGTTCTATATTTATACAGGAATCTCAGTCTAGATGATCACAATGTAAGGCCCTGGAATATACGAACCCTGGCATGGCAGAGCTCTCCGGGAGCTGCGGATCATACAAGCGTTGGATCTATGGGCCCATGGCAGACAGCATGGAAGGGCCCATACACGCGATTTGGTGCAAGTTAATTGAACCCTATTCGTTTTCTTGAAAAATCTCAGGTTCAACCGACCAGCATTTTCTGATGAAACTAGGTAAGATAAAAATAAAGATTTAAAACTTACCAAAAACCATCCGCCATATCGCTGGATGTGGGCGAGTAAAAGGCCCTGTGGAGAGAAATGTTTGTTAGATGACAGTGAATTGATTACAAAGAGTAAAACTACAGCATATTATTTTTAAGACTTGGTTCAGGGGGATAGCAGCAAAAGTTAACATGCAAAGATCAGTTTTCCTTCAAGCTTTACAATGTACTTGAAGGTTTGGCTTAGAGACTCTGCAGTATTTAAGTAAAACAAGTTCATTAGTAATTGATTCTAGGATTTGAAGGTTTTTTGATCATTACTGGGACATGGAAGAAATATGCAACTACTTTTCATTGGCATTCTTTCTCCGGCGGTAAGAAGATGGCATGTGTTTTGGATGCATGTATGCTGAGGTGCCAGCTGCTGGTATTTCTAACAGGCTGATCTCTTGAATTGTTTTCTAGATTACATCTGTTTTGTGGTTTTTTACAGTTGCAGGCATGTTTCATTTTGGGAATGAATAAGTAATCAAGTACAAGTTTCTGCAGGTTAGCAATGAAATTGGGGGCACTGACTCCCAAAAACATTATCAGGCAGGCCACCTAAAACTTCGAACGGACCTAATATCAGATATCGCAAAGAATATCAGGCAGGGGTTGGATTTGTGTGAAAAAATCAGCTCTTCTGTCTACAAAATTGAAATTGATACCTTTAAAGACACCATTAAGATCAAACACAAATCCTGATTAAACACACAGCTCAAAAGGGTTTAACTTCAAGATATTTTCTCAAGAGCCTGGATTCCTGAGGATGAGTGTCCTCTTATTACGGCTTCTGTTTTAGATTTATTTATTTTGCCAGAGATTAGATTGACTTCCTTTATTAAATTAAAACGCCAAACTAGTGCAAAAAGAGAAGTGGAGATAAGGGCCACCTTTGTCTGGTAGAGCTGAAAAGTTTCTAAATATAATCCATTCTTCTAGACTGCAGGAAGAGGCTGAAAACATAGATCTTTAATACACATTATGAATTGCTCTTTGAATCCCATATGCAAATAGCTACACCTATTTCACCCTGCAAGGGTTTTTTTTCTAAATCCATAATTGAAAGACAGTCACATGCAGATCTTGTGGTTTGGGTCATAACATTATGCAACCTCCTTCGCATATCCAAATTTGTTCTTCCCTATAGGAAATCGGTTTGGTCTGTGTGTGATACATAATTCATTTATGGGGGTAGGGAGATTAGTGATTACCTTGATGAGATTTTATAGAATGTAGCTATGGGACAGGCACACTGGGTTAAACCCTTGCCTTCTTTTGTCAACAGCATGATAGTGGTTGATGTTAATTTGGAGGAACTTATTTTCAAATTACGATTTGTGTGAGTAATCCCTGAATTTGTAAGGAGTTATTTATTTGATCCACAAAGATTTTGGAAAAATCTACCCAAAACCAATTATGGGCCATGAATCCGAGTTTTCTAAGAGAGTTAATAAAGTTAACAGTCATTTAATCTCCACCTTCCTAGCACCCTAATCGTTCTGTTATCTAAGCATATTTAAAAATACTTAGTTCCATCCATAATTTTTCAATAAAAACATTAAGACTATAACTCCCATCAGAAACTCACATCAACAACTTTAAAAAAAAATGTGCTAGTTCAAAAAGAATTATTATGGGGAAGTTCTATGGGATGGTCAGACTAGATGCTCACAGTGGTCTCTTTTTGCCTTGGAATTTATGAAGCTGGATTTTGGCAGGCTTTTACATCTGATGAGAGGAGACATGATCTCTAATTTATCCCCTCTGCCCCCTCAGATACTCTTGTGTGATCCTTCAAGATTGAAGAATCATTTGCTGTTGAAGACAGAGCTGATCACCAGGAGTTTACACAAGCTCTCTCTCATGCCAGAACAGCCTCATCTAGAATGCACTAATTCATATTGTGCCAATGTGCACTCCAAAATAAAACTTTCATGGCATATATGGGTAATATAACCAGAAATTCAGTTTCTTGCACATAAAACTCTTAATCATAAGACAAAGCTCTAGTGAGTCCTTTTAAAATGTTCCCCTCTAAAGCTGCAAATCTGTCCCGATTTAAACTATTGCTGAACAGAGGCAGCATGGGAATATCTGAAATGGGGGGAAGCAAAACTGACCAATAAATGTATGGTCATAGCCAGTCTACAGCAGCAAACAAAGATCACAATACATGTAACTCAAAACAGGATAACACTTCTCCTGAAGGGTCTCCAGGGTAACCAAAGCGTTATTCTTTTCAACTCCCATCATTAGTAGAACACGGCAATACAAATATTTTGATTTACTTCACAACCACACTCACAATCATTGAAAAATTCTTTCAAGTTTCATTTTCTTAGAGGGTGGAGAGGAAGTAGAGCAACTCTACCGTCGTTGTACATCCGTAACAATAAATGTTAGATTTAGGTTCTAGTCCTGGCTCTGCAACTAGTCTTTTATATGACCTTCAGCAAGTCACTTTCCCTCCTGGAGCCTCAGTTTTCCCATCTATAAAGTGTGGATAATGATACTAACCTCCCCTTTGCAAAGCACTTTGAGATTTACTGATGTAAAGCACTGTAGAAGAGCCAGGTATTATTAATTATTATTATTCAGAGATTAAATCCCCAAATATGCTGAAAAAGCTGACATTTCCATTTTCAAGGGACTATGGCTCTCTAGCAACACCATGCAAAAGCTAAATAACCTGTATTTTGTTGGTATTTCAGCTCAATGCTATTACAACTAATTTATACAGTGAATAAAATCTATCTAAAAAAAAACCCACTTACTAACCTTTTTTAACTGTTGTGCTTTGAGATGTGTTGCTCATGTCCATTCCATGTTAGATGAGTGTGCTCGCCACATGCATCGGTGCCAGAAGTTTTTCCTCAGTGGTATCCGTAGGGTACCAAGTCTGGTGCCCTCTGGAGTAACGCACATATGTGCCTCCACCATTCCTCAGGTCCTTCTTGCCGGAACTCCGAAAGTGGAGAAGGAGGGTGGGTCATGGAATGGACATGAACAACACATCTTGAAGAACAACAATTACTAAAAGTTAGTAACCATTTTTTCTTCTTCAAGTGATTGCTCATGTCCATTCCATGTTAGGTGACTCCCAAGCAGTGCCATCGGAAGTAGGTAAGAGTTCATGGACGTGTTGATTGCAACAAAGCTCTGCCAAATCCAGCATCATCTCTGGCATCCTAGGTGATGGCGTAATGAGTGGTAAACATGTGTACTGTTTACCGCGTCGCAGCGCTACAGCCCGCGCTAACTCGTAACAGGTGCGGATGCAGTGGTGATCCAGTTTGAAATCCTTTGAGAGGACACTGGAAGGCCCTTCATTCTGTCAGCAGTCGCAACAAAGAGTTGAGTTGATCTGCGGAAGGGATTGTTGCGCTCCAAATAGAAAGCTATGGTATGCCTGACATCTAGAGCATGCAGGCATCTCTCATTGGTCTTGTGAAGTTTCAGATAGAACACAGGAAGGACGATATCCTGGTTGAATAGAGGAGCGTGCAAAGTCTAATGTCTCTCCCTCTCTTGGTCCAGAGCTTGAATCCCTTACAAATGCGGCACTTTTTGTGGATATGGGACTCACCCAGACACTTCAAACAGCTTAGGTGTGGATCGCTAATTGGCACTGGCTCCTTAAAGCAATCACATGACTTAAAGCCCGGGGAACAAGGCATGCCCCATCCCTGGTCTAAGTCCCTCAGGGGACTATTCGCTAAGGTCTACTAGCTATTAAGAACTGTTAAGAACTGTAAACTAACTACTAACTAACAACTATTTACACAAAAGTTCAAAGAACCACTGAATAGAAACCGCTTGCTAGAACAAGGGGAGTGTTCCAGCACCGACACTGGCGTTAAGAAGGAACTGGAGGGGGAGGCTTATACCGGAGCATATGCAAGCCACTCCAGAGGGCACCAGAACCGGTCCCCAATGGATACCACTGAGGAAAAACTTCCGGCACTGGTGCATGTGGTGAGCACACTCACCTAACATGGAATGGACATGAGCAATTACTTGAAGAAGAAGCAAGCAATCCTTTCCAGCTCAGAAAGTAAATGGCAACAAGTGAAAAGAAATATGCATGTGAAATAAAGATAAAGCATCAATATACTTACCATTTGGAAAAGCTAGAACACTAATGATTAGAAAGAAGAAAACCACAGAGAGGATACCCTTCCAAATATTATCTTCTGGGATAGAATCATTCCTGAAAAGACAGACCTCATCAAGTTAGTAACATGACTTTTTTGAAGATAATGAGAAAAGGCATTCTAGACACCAGGTTAATGAAATACATTTGGAAATAAGCTTTGAAAATCAATGGCGGTTCACAACCAATAAGAGATGCTAACTTAGTAATGGTTTCACTTGACACCCTTACACATCCATTTATACAAGAACAAAGCTAAACATAAAATCAATATACACAGACCAGGAGCACAGCTTCTAGCCATTGTCAGAACTGACTGCAAAGTTAAAATAATAAGATTTAAATTATTCCTCTTCTTTTGGAGAAAGGTTGTTGTTATATTATAGCCAAATGATAGACGTAAGCATCCAGTGTGAATATCTTGACAGGAAATCCTGGCAAGCCTGATTTAGCTGTTTTTCCTTCTCAGACAGCTAAGAGTACCATCTAGTTTACATGGGAGATCCACCCATTCAGAATCGATCTGGCTTTTGCCAACAAATTCTCTCTTCTTCAGTCAGTTCTAGGACCCTTAAATAACAAAATCAGTAAGTGTAACCATTAATTATTAGTAACTCAAATACAAGCATAGTCGATATAGCACATCTTAATTATTACTATTAAGATTAAAATCTTATTGCTCATAACTAAATATTTTAATGTACTCATCATGAACTTATCTAGATACCAATATACAATGCACAGAAATATATTCCATTATTTCTTCCTTTCCTTTTAGCGTCAAATTTTCTTTCTAGTTTTACAAGGGACTAAGCTGTGCATAGTGAAGTAAGGGTATCTTATTTCAGGATGGTTCAAAAATGAATCTGCAGCAGCAGAATTTGCCCCACAATAATTGCCAGGATGGGATCTGTGAGGAAATAGTACTGTATGTTAGAGTTTGCACCAACATTTAGCCTCAGATGCAGAATTATAAATGTGGGCAGAGCCGCCCCGGTGGGGCGGGAGGGGGAGGAGGTGGAGCCCAGGGTGGAAGTGACAGATTTGTCTCTTCTGGGACGGACTGTGCCAGCCAGTCGCACCAGCTCACAGAGCCCCCCAAAGCGCAGGGCCTGGAGCGGTCGCCCCAATTCGCCCTACCCAAGGGGTGGCTCTGAATGTGTGACATATAATTTTCCCCTCTTCCAAAGTGCTGCATAATCTCCTATTTAGATTGTAAGCTCTTTGGGGCAGGAACAGCTTTGTTTGTTTTGTGTTTGTACAGCCCTTAGCATATTAGGGTCCTGGTCTATGACAACAGTTCCTAAGTATTATGGTAATACAAATAAAGAATAATAATACATTACACCACAACGGAGTGCCATGGCAGCCTTTCCGACCCGTGAAACGTCTAAGCCCTGGATAGGTCAGGTCTGCCATGCGAAGCTCCCACATGGCACATGAACAGGGACCTACCAAATTCATGACTGTGAAAAACACGTCACGGACCGTGAAATCAGATCTCCCCCATGAAATCTAGCTATTGGAGGGCCAGGGCTGGGGACGCCCCAGCCGGGGGCTCCTACTGTTCACCAGGCTCCAGCTGCTGGGATGGGGTGGGACAGGACTTCCTCTTTCCCTGCACAGCTGCTCTCAGGGGGAGATCAGACCCATCTCTGGGTACCTCCCCTAGCTGCAGAAAGCTCATGGCTGCTACTAGCTCTGAAGACTCCCAGCAGCACAGGGGAGATCAGACCCACCTCAACCTCCGGGAATCTCCCCCAGCTGCAGGAAGCTCCACAGCTGTTGCTTTCAGAGCCCAGAACTGAGGGTGGCAATCCCACGACCCCCTACATCAGCTTTGCAACCCCACTACCACCCCCTTTCGGGTCAGGAACCATGTGGTAACACCACCCTGAAATTTCAGATGTAAACATCTGAAAATGTGAAATTGACCAATTAAAAAACCCTCTGGCCCTGAAATTGATCAAACTGGACCATGAATTTGGCAGGGTCCTACATATGACTAAAGCTCTCACCAACAGTTGAGAGCTTTACTCATATTTAATAAAAGCTATTTCCTCACAAACCTCTAAAGCACCTCATGGCAGTGACCTTTCTCTAATCTTCCCCCTGTTCCATCCAGATTTACTAGTGTCCGTTTCCTGCTTGTAGTGCCACCCATGCATGTCTTAGAGTCATTCCATGACTAGCTTAAAAACAGGAATTCTGCCCTAGCACTGGGCTCCCTGGGCTCCTCCAGGAGTTCTGCCTTGATCAGAGCTGCTGCCCTGTCTTCTCCCACCGACCCACAGATTCACAATGGCTCAGCATACAGAGGTAGTATTCCTCTGCTACAAATTCACGTAGCAGTGTACATTCATTATTTTCACTTAGTAATGCCTGGTAGAATGTTTTCCATAAAAATGAAAGCTACTGAATGATTTAATAATCAAGTAAAATTGCTGCATAATTCAGTGCAACCTAGCCACATATGTTAGAGAAGGATGGACTAAGTCACTTAAGTTAAACCTAATGTGGCAGCAAATATTTTGGCTTTGTACAGATCAAGATTTCTCAGCCTTGTAGAGCTTTTTTTTTTTTTTTTTTGGTCATTACATCACTACATGAACAGATCAGATCCCCCGCCCCAAGACCCTGACTATTGTGTTAATCTAACATCTTTCTCTCTGTACATCCTCTTTACTTACTGCCTACTAGATATTCAAAGCCTTAATTACGAAAGCCAAAAGTTACTGCTTTAGTTACTTCATTTTGGGATTAATACAGTGACACTTTTTAAAAGGATGTTTATCCTGTCTTCTTGCGAGAGGTAGGTAAGAAAAAATGTGAGTCACAGCTTAGTTACTGCTTCTAAGCTAGAAGATAGACTACAGTGTTTGTTTGGAAGAGGTGTTGCTGGGAATCCCGAGAGGAAGGTGCAGGCACAGGGAAACAAAATGACTGTCACAACAAACCATAATTAAGAAAATGTACTCTTGAGGGGCTGTGCCAAAAAAATAAAAATTCTGCACACAATATTTTAAAATTCTGAAAATTTTATTTTTGATAAATAAATGTGGAGGCTCCAGCATGGTAGTGAGGAGCACAGGCCATTGGCTGCATGGAGGTGGGAGATCACCCTAAAGCCCCCACGTCCGAGCACACGGACTCGGTGGTTGCACTGTGTCAGGGTCAGGAGCAAGGGCCGGGCCTGCCCAGAAACACCCTGTGGCCCTGCCCCTCCGTGCCAGGCATACCAGGTGGGGGCAAGCACGCTCAGCCCAGCAGAATCCAAGTGTGAAGGGCCTTTGTGTGGGGGGACAGGGTTCTGTGTGGGGCAATCTGGGTGTGGGGGATCTGGATGAACAGGGGCTCACTGAGGGGGTTATGAGTACAGGTGCAATGGGACTCTGCAGGGGGGTCCAGGTGAAAGTGGTTGGGGCTCAGCGGGGAGTGGGGGGCTGGATGCAGGTTGCTTGGTGGGGGGAGGGGTGTCTAGGTGTTGAGGGAGTGGGGCTTGGTCGGTGGGGGTTCAGGTCCAGCTGGCTGGGGCTCAGTGGGGTGGGGGTCTGGGTGCAACTTAACCCTATACAAAACCAAATCAGAAACCAAGAGGTAGGATGGCCCAGACATGTTGGTTTAATCAGCACTGTTCCAGTGTTTTGAAGGGATGGGAATGCACAGTCCTGCATTCTATTCCTGCTTTAATAAAACACAGCCTGTCACCTCCATTAAAATGCTGCTGTGTGGGCTTCACAAAGGAGTGCCCACCACAGCCATCCCTCAGTTGCCATTTCCCCCTTGTTGATTGCCTCTCAGCTAAATGAAAGCCATATCCTCCTCCCCAGAGGAGGAAAGGGAAACAGTGGGGCACAGTCAATAGGAATCCCAGCTATAGCAACAGATTTGGAGCTGGGAAGCCAGAGACCAGCTTATCCAATAGGAAAACAAGGCAGGTGCAGCAGTTGCCCTGACAGATTTAGGTGACAGATACATTAGAAAAGCCTAAAATAGGCAAATTAGGCAATTGAACACACATTCAAATTTACTTTGTTGGCTTTTCCACATGGAAGCAACCCCTCTCTGAAGTCTAGCTTCACACCAGTCTGCCAACTTCAGGACTGTGACCTCTGTCTCCTGAGGTCCTAATGAAGGTTCCCAAAACTAAGGATGGATCTGGCTGCTGCATCCAACAGAAGAGCTTTTCCCAGGTTCATCTGAGATCCTTAAATTTCTGGCATAGAAGGAACTGAGGACGAAATAAGAAAGAAGCTTTCCAGGGCTGAGTTAGCCCATCCTTGTCTGATGTTCCTTAAAAATAAACTTGTACTAATAATTACACTACTTAGTGTATAAGACAACATGCCTGAATTTTGGGTTACCTGACTGCATTGCACATGTGAATCTGTCACGGGTGGGTAGTAAGTGACTGCAGAAGGAAGGCAGCGGTGAGTCATTTATGTCTAGGTCTAAGGAAACTGGGACTCTCTGAAGGGATATTCCAAAGGGGCAGAGGAGTGATTGGGACTGGATGGCCCAAGCATGGGAAATGAGAACATGGTGGGTAGAGGCTCAAACACCATGATGAGGAAAACAGGAAAGACAGACAGTGGGGAATGTAACTGGAAACACATGATGATATACTCTTTTCTTCTCTATGCCTATTCAAACAACTAGCTACATGTGTTGGGTATTGCCCCAGCAATGGAAGAAGAGGTGGCATGTTCGTATTACTGGAAATTAAAGGGAGCAGAAGAAAAAAAGGGGGGGGGAAGAGGAAGATACCGGAGCTAGGGGAAAAGTGACAGCAGAGAAAGACAAAAAAAGAAAAAGAAAACCGACAAATCTATCCAAAAGCAAGTATCTGAGCACCTAGTTAATGTCCTGTGTCTTGAGGACAGTAGATCTGAACTGCAGCCCAACCCACCCTTTATTTGGCAAAACATAAGGATTAAGCATTTCTTTTTTCCCCCTGGGTGAATCATCAGTCCCAAGGACCCAGTCTTCCAAGATACGCTCAGCATCTCACAGCATTGTGCCCTAAAAGAATAACCAGTTGGCTTTGTCCAAGGATAGTTTTAGGCAATGATAGCAAATACGGAACTATTTATGCAACAGAATATGGAGATACAGGGTCATAGCCAAGATTTAAAAAAGGGGTCTCTGGGCCATCCTACCCAAGTTACAAATGACAGTAAATGTTGATACTTGCTGAGAACAAGGGACGCACTTTATCAAATGTATCTTATTGAGTGCCACACGGGTAGTAATAGGAAAGGGATGCATTTTGTTGGGAGTTTCGAATTAGATTTTTGATTTTCCTCTCTCACAAACAAACCTTTCTTCTCACACACACCCTTCCCAGTTTTACAAGATTTATTTTGTTACCTTTGTAATTTAATGATTAGCTATACATTTATATTCTCAAAATCAAAGCTATCAAATTACATTTTTTTAAATTTTATCAGCCCTGAGAAAAGTAGTGGTTCTCTCCTCTGTAAATCTCTGTTGGTGTTCAATCAGTAATAAAAAAAGTCTAGTTGTAATCTGTGACCATATACATACAATGTCACCATGATCAACAAGTAAACAGTAAACATGAGTTCAAATCCTGCAAGGCTTACTTTGGCAAAAGCCCCACTGAAATTAGTGTGCTTGGATTAAGGACTGCAGGGTTGCGTCTATAGTGAAGAGAATTCACAAACTCCTGCTCAGGAAATACAGGTTTCTAGCAATCACTAAGCCAAAGGAGAATCACAAATACATGAGCAAGAGTGTGACCCTATTCAGAAGGAGACATTGGCGCATAGATATATGCACATATATACTGGCCCCATTTCTGCAAGGACCTCTGCATGAGTGGACCTCTACTGATTACAAATAAGACCCCAATCCTGTAAACACTTATGCATATGCTTAGCTTTACTTCTGTGAACAGCTCTAGTGACTTCAGTGGGACTACTCACAGAAGTAATGTTAGCACTTGAATAAGTGTTTCCAGGATCAGGGCTTAAGCCTTCACATTACCAGTGGTGTCTCTATAGAAGAAAAAATTTACAAAAATGACTGCATAAAACAATAGTGTTCAATAAGCAAAAGATGTGACGCTATACAAGAAATGGTGTAGTTGATAACTTTTTTATTTAATAAAAATAAGTCCCAGATAACTGCTTGGGAACTATGTTCACTTCAAGGAAGACTTCAACTGATGGTTTACAAAAACATGGTAGGAAACTAAATAACACTGAAAAAAATCACACAGAGTTAGACTTTATGGTACTGAGAACAAGCTTTGTTGTTTGTTTAAAAAAAAAAGATATGAATCATTTCTAGTACCTGATACTCTATATCTTGCTAGAGATATAATACTTTTTAAGACACATTGTAATTTGGATTAAGCTCATTGAAAAAGGCCAAAACAAAGTCTTATTTTGATACCACAGCTATGGTTTGATAAGATCTGTTACAGCTCACTCTCACTAATCCTGAAGAAATTTACCAGTGAATATGGTAACGAAACAAAAAAACCCACTCTGCCTCCACTGTACACTACCTTCTCCATCAAGAAATAGGAAAAAGAAACGTACAACAGACTTAACAGCACTGTCTTCTGTCATGATAAAAGGGACTAGTATCACTATCACAAGAGATGCTTGTCTTTATCTACAGTATCAGCACTTAAAATAATCTGAATTTGAGAGGTTGACTCAAAATATGTATTCAGTAATGAAGATCTCAGGTACATAACCAAATATACAGCAAACCCAAATGATTGTACTTCAGATTTACCCTGTGCATAAAAAGACACCAGGCAAAGTAAATTAATGTCAGTTTGAATAAAGCCCTAGTACGACAGTCTAGGATGCATCCTCCTGCTGCACTCAGGTGCTTTCCAAAGGCAAAAAAAAATACCTTCTCTTTATGGATATTTTTTAGGAGTCCAGGACAGAAGTAATACTTGGCAGGGATGCCTTGACAGCATCCAGAGAGGGCGGGGGGCAAACTCCAGCAGAGGTGCAGAACCCCAGTCGCTCTGTGGCCATGTTCAAAATAACAGCTCGTATTTTTTTTTACAAAAAAGAAAACCTGGCGCATGGTAGAGACCAACCCATCCCGGTGTGACTGTCCCCCAGCTAGGCTGCGCCTCCACAAGTCACTGAGCTACTGGCCTGTCGCCTAGCCTGGCAACCTTCATGCCTAGCTAAGTAACCTTCCCCGGCTCGCTCCTCCCATCCAGTCCCTCCCGCATTCATCCTCCCTTCCCCCATTCATTCTGGACAGCCCCCGTCCCCCATTCACTCTGGGCCGCCCCGCGCACCGGGTGAAGGCGAAGGCCATGAGGCTGAGGATGGTGAAGCTCAGCAGGGTGATGGTGTGGGGCCGGTAGAAGAACTCCAGGGTGATGTCCTCCACCTGCTGCTCGTTGATCATGCGGAAGTGCAGTCGGTAGTTCACATCGTCCTTGCTCAGGGTCCGGCTCCCCACGCAGGACGCCATCTCCCCGCGCGGCGCCGCCCGGCCCGGCCGCCTGCTCCGCTCCGCTCGGCTCAGCGGCTGCTGCTGGGGAGGCCGCCCGCGGGAGGGAGAAGCGCTCTCCCCGCCCGGGGGCCTGGGCGCGCGGGACCAAACGGGCGCTGGGACCAAGCCCGCCGAGGCGGGGGGGTTGGGCGGAGAATTACTGCGCGGGGGGAGGAGCGGCCGGGCCGCGCGGGGGGAGGGAAGACAGTATCAACCCGCACCCGCCGGCAGATGGTCTCGCCCGGGCAGGAAGCGCCTCTGCAGGACGTGAGGGAAGGGGGCGGGCGAGGCAGGGTAGCTGCGCGCAGACCTGCCGGGAGGGGGCGGGGCGAGGCGACAGGAGGAGCCAGTAGCGCGGCTCAAGGCCTTGCCGCCGCCTCAGGTGAGACCCTCCCCGCCGTGGTCACCCGGCCGGGGGCGCTGGGAATGGGGCAGGCTGCGGGCCCGTGGCCGGAGTCAGGGCCGGCGCTGTGCTGCGTCGGTTCCCTCAGCCTGTCACTTTAGGCCGCAGGGCTTCTACCAGCGGGGCCGCCTCACAGCCCCGCTTCCGTCCCTCCGCCGCCGCGCCGCAGGGCCTGTGTCTGGGGGGGAGGCTAACCGCGCTGAGGCACGGACCGGGCCTCCTGCCAGCCCAGCACCTCGGGGGGACAGGTTCAGAGCCGGGCTCCGGGCACGGACGCGCCAGGGAGGACAGAGGCAGCAACCCAGGCACGGTCTGAGCGTCCCTGCGCCCCCCAGTCCTAGGATGTCTTGGGTTTTAATTACTTGTATGAGGCCTGTTGTCTCACTTAAAAACAGTGACAATAGATATTTGTAAGGGGCTTTATGAGCTAGTGGTTGCATGTGATTCTGTAATACAAGACATTGTGAATTGTTTGATTCCTAGGCATGACACTTTACTTTGACTGGGGTTATGTTAGAGTCAGACCCTCCTGCTTTTTTCAGACCACTTTAAGCGCTGCATTATCTTTAGGTCTGATGGGTGCTCCTGCTTCATGTGTCCCGGGGAGCTGAGTGTCCTTGGCACGGTCCTAGCTCTGGGATCTGTCTGAGAGCAGGAGCACATAGTATAACTTTATCTTGGTATAACTTATGTCACTCAGGCATATGAATAAGCCACCCCTCTGAGTGACATGAGTCACACCTACTTAAGCACTGGTGTGGACTGCGCTACCTTGGCCGGAGAGCTTCTCCCCTTGACATAGCTGCATTGGGGGTGCACTGCGGTAAGCTCTCTACTGTAGCCATAGCCTCAGAGAGCAATGTACCTGTTGGGCTAGGGGGAGCTGCCTTGTCTTTCAAGATACAGTATTCATTGCATGCTCATAACCAGACTAAATGTGTTACTGTTATAATTAATTTATGTGTATTAGCATAACACCTAGGAGCTTTAGTCGTGGACCAGGACGTCCCTGTGCTATGTGCTTGTACAAACACGGAACCAAAGGACAGTCTGGCAGTGCCCCATCAAGAGACTTGACATTGTGCCCTGATTCTCTCTTTTTCATAAAGAGATTATTGAGAATTAACAAACTTAAGGGAAACAATTTCAGTTTGAGATTTTTAAATAATTTTTATTGTGTTCAATTATGTATTTTCTAGGACATCACATTTGTAAATTTACGAGGCAGTAGAATGACATTATATAGCACAGACCTACTTCTGCTTTAATTTTGACAAAGCTACTTCCTAAACTTTCATCCTAGTTTGTGTAACAGTGAGATGTATTGCTTTATTCCTGACAATTTTCTCCCTATAATTAAGTGCTCCTTTTCCTTAGCAGGGAACTGTATTTATGTAGAAGATGGCTTTTTGGGCTCGGCAGATAAGCATATGGTGCTCATCAGTGAAAACAAGTAATGTTGCTAATTCTATTCAGCGACTGAGAAAAACTCACAGAACATGGATGCAGTTGGATGAGCTTTCAGTTCTATCTTTGCTGTGCACTGATAATCGCTTTCTTCAGCGTGGATTGAAGACCTACCGACCTGTATCTTTGGGGAGCCGTTTACAGTCCACCAACTCAAGTAATGGACAAATTGTTTCTTCAGAAAGTAACTTACTTTCTCCAGTAAACCACTACCAGCAGCAAGCAGAAGTAATACCCAGCTCAGATACAAAAACATTATATGAGGGTAAGAAACTTTAAGAATTTTAATTTAACTTAAACTTGAAGTCCACCATGTCCCATCAGTTTGGTGTCGGCTCTTAGTCTCCAAGCGTTCTTGTCCAGTGCATCTAACAAGCTGACACCAACTTTCATGTCCTCCTTCAGCATCTCAAACCACCTTTTTCTAGGTATTCCTCATGTCCCACAGCTACAAGTTCATATATTCTCTAGCCAGCATATCCCACGTCTCGTCTCACATGACTCATTCATCTCAGTTGATACTTTCTCTGCTTTTCTGTGATGAGGGCTCATGCCATTTTATTGCGTAGCCTATCTTACTTAGCGTCTACCTAAGTCAGTGGTTCCCAAACTGGAGCTGGCACAATGTTACAGGGGGTTTGCCAGAAAAATGTCCTTAATGGCAGCCAGAGGATCTGGGGCATGGGAGGCAGCAGGTGGGACCCCGTTGTGGAGCAAACAACCTGAGCCCCGTGGAGCACTGAGCGGGCAGCGGAGGGGCCGGCAGCCCGAGCCCCACAGAGCGGGCAGCGGAGGGGCCGGCAGCCTGAGCCCAGCAGTCAGCGGGGGCCGGCAGCCCGAGCCCCGCAGAGCGCGGAGCCAGGCAGTGGGGGCCGGGAGCCAGCAGCCCAGACCCCAGCGCAGGGCTGCCAGCCTGAGCCATGTGGTGGGCAGGGCAGCAGCTGGGACCCCAGGCACTCAGGTGGCAGCTCAGACCCCTGTCCTTGGCAGACAGGGGAAGTTGGGCATCATGAAGGGCAGAATGAACAGGGGCCATGCTGTACATGGAGGGTGGTCCCTCGCGGGGCACCCCCTTTGGGATGGCCCTGGTGGCGGAAGAAAAGATGTTTGCGCACCAAACCACCCAGAACTATGTTGTAGTCAATGTAGCAGTGTTAAGGTGCCTCAGTAATTCAATACTAAGTCATTTTCTCTGGAGTGCTGTTTTGCTTCAGTGAGATGTGAGTGAATCTTCTCATTTTCTAGTTTGTTGGTTGTTAGCATCACACTGAGGAGATTTAAACTTAAATCCCTGGAAATACTCATTTTCACAAGATTTCACATTTTAATGAAAGGGGTTCACGGGTTGTTAAAGTTTGGGAACCACTGACCTAAGCATTCTCATTTTGGCAGCATGATGTAGGAACTTCTATTGTTCTGTACTGAAAATCCTGCTTTAAACTTTACTTTTGGCTGTTAACTCATTCAGTCCTGCTCATGCTGGCATATTTGGACAGTCTTTACAAGTTTCATTCAGTTTGAACCCCAGTATTAATACAGGGTTTCTGTAATATGAGACAAGTACTTGATCCAGAAACCATGTTGATTGCTTTTAAATCTAGTCAGAAGTTTAGTCTGCTTATCAGAATATCAGACTGGTGGTAAGGAGACATGAATTCTCTTTTCCACTGTGCCACAAACTCATTGTGTGACCTTGGGCAAGCCACTGAACCACTCTGTGCCGTCACCCCTAAATAAGGATAATAACCTCTGAAAAGGGCTTTTAATGTGTATGGAGAAAAATTGCTATGGAAGTACTAAGTATGAGAATTATACTTCATTCTTATAATAGCATTTACCTGCAACTGTGAAATAAGGTATTAGAGATTGTTTTAACCCTTTATATCACTCATAACAATGTATGTTAAATGATTAGTGTGTTAAAACAGTAGTTTAAACACACTAATCGTTTAAACTGTTTTAGATACTGCTTACAGGCCTTTCTTCCCCACAGCAGAGAGGTGGGCTATGAGCATAGTACCAGGAGCCAAGAAACTGAGTTTTAGTTTGGTTCTGGCAAAGACTCCTTTTTGTGTCCTTTGGCAAACCATTTTCTCCTTCTGCAAATGGGGAATGCTAGAAAAAGTGATTTTCCTAAACTGTGTTGACTTGTCTGGCCTACACTTGCAGCTAACCCCATGTACAACTGAGAAGGATTGGATCCTCCGTGACTGTAGTGCAAAGAGGGTGTAAATCTGGTTTAGATGAGTCGGCTTTCATCCAGAGTGTATCAAAGTAGAGATTCTGCAGTCAGAGGTGTAAATAGGTGGAAGTGTAGCAAGCTGTTTAGTGACCCATACGATGTGCAACTCACATATGTATTCTCGAGCAACATGTACCTTTTCTAGCATAGACCAGGACTTTGTGTTTTTAGACATTAATTAAGCCCTACAACCCCTCTGTGAGGTACTCCAACTTCCATGGAGTTTTGTCTGTTTATGCCAGGGCTGAATTGGTCCCAGAAGTGCAGATAGGTATATTAGGATGAAATGGAGAAAAGAGAAACTTCTGCTGAAAAATCATCTAAAACCCTATAACAGTGAGAGTTCTGTATAGACTGTGGAATAGAGGTGCTAGAGGCCATGTCTCAACTTTCAGGGCATTTAAAACTAGACTCTACAAAGTATGGGAAAATCTGAGGAACAATTCTGCAGTTACAGTGGCAGATGGACGATATAACTTATAACTCTACCTTTTATTCTGTCTAGCCACACTGGCTATGCACACTAGCTGGATGTTTATGCTAAAACTATCACTACTGAAAAATTGAAGTGTTGACACATAGAACCTTGTTAGAGAGACACACCATCCACTTCATAGCTCCTAAATAGATACAGTTTCAGGGACTCCACTAGTCCCGAATGTCCATGCCAGTTTTGTAGTTTTTCAGTTTTATTTTCTTTAAAAACTAACAAAAAAGAAGTTTCTCCCTTATTGTTGTGTGAAAGACCCACACAACTGGAGAAACTTTGAAACAGAGTATGTGAGAAATGCTGACAAGTGTACAAAATGGAAAAAAGTGTTTTTCTAACTCGTTTCAAGACAGACAACAAATTACTGTAACAAGAGTAGGTTTAAAAAAAATCTGAAGTAAGAAGAAGGATTGTCTTGTGGTTAAGGCACTAGACCGGGAATCAGGATGTATAGGTTCAGTTCCCAACTCTGCTATAGACTTTGTGTGCAGTCTTGGGTAAGTCACTATTTCTGTATCTAAATTCCTGATCTG